TAAAATTATTGTAGCTTTTATGGGTTCAAAAAGAAACCGCACAAACCTGTCAGATTCTACAGTGAAAAGATTCCATGTCAGATTATCGGTGAAAAGCATGACTTCAGTTGGTTCGTTTGTATTATGATTGCATTGTAGCTTCTAATATTTCAAGCAGTGGACCTCAAAATTCAAACAAGAGTTTATTTTATTCAAAATTCATTACAAGGTCTTAAGTACCGGTTAATGCTTCTAATTTTGAGAAATTATAATGAGATCAGGCTAATAAACTTTGAAATTCTTTGACAGATTAGTGTTTAACGAAGACATTTTTATTCAACTGCGTTAATCATTATTTTATGCATATACAAACTCTGATAGTAACAAAAAATTATAGGAGTCATTTAACATTGAAAATCGGATAATTGCCCTTGGTACCAATGTAATTAATAATCCTTCAGCTCTGCAATTTCACGGCATTGCAAATTGTTGCCGTTGCAGCCCGCGAATAGCAACGTTTTACCGAAGCTAAATTTCTTAATTACAATAATTGAAAGAAAAAGCACGAGTCTTTGTGGCGACTGCTTGATTGAGGATGATCAGTCGCAATGGACCTGTTAACATCCTGCGTCGCGTCGTAGAAGTGGTTTTTAAGAAAAATGACCCTTATTGAAAACCTTAATCGCTAACGATGTTCGCGATCAAGTTTCCTCGTGCAGAGAAAAGCGAAAACTATCGCTGATCAGCAGATGTGTGAACATTGTTAACAATTCTTACTGGCGGCCTTTGCTTGAGATATTTTCTGAATTATTTTTTGCTAAACACTAATTTCGATTACAACTAATTTTAGTAATTGCAAAAGACGGATGTGAAGATGCAGATCCAAAATGTCCGGAATGGGCAGCAGAAGGTGAATGCACCTCGAATGCAGTCTGGTGAGAAAGCCCCATCGTTCTTGCTTTTCATCGCACGCGATTATTTACTGAATTAAACGGTCACTACTCAGGATGATGGCCAACTGCCGGCGGTCGTGTCACTCGTGCCAAGGCGGCGATAAAGCATGGAAACTGCGTACACACATTCAAGCCAACTATCAGAACACCACTGACAATATAACGA